TGCTTCCTGTGATCAAGAGAGACGTAGAGCATGGCAGAGCGGTCGTGTCACTCCAGTGTGAGAAGGAGTCCGATGGCGAACCAATGGCTTCAATGGAGTCGAGCCAATTTGCCAATCGACTGAACAGTAGCAGCCATTTCACAATCATTGTGAGGATGTGACCACCAGCCAGGATTTTATAATAATAATAATAATCATATCATAAAATAATAACTTAAATCACATGATAACGTAGCTGAGCAGCGCATTATATAAAATACTTTTAAACAAGAATAACTTCCATATGGCTACCCTCCCAAATGGTGTCAAAAATTTATCGAATGAAGTGACACTCAGCCATTGTCACTCTGGCGAAGAGTTTGTAAAGTTTCGAAATCGATCGATTTTCCAGGAATTTTGAAACGCAGAGGAGTCGATGACAAAACGTCATTGTCCCGGTTATGCGATAACCATGATTAATGTTTCTTAAGCAAATAATTTCCGAACCCTAAGGCTAAATTAAATTCACTTACTACACGCATTGCTTCTACACGAAACGACAAATCAAGCGAAGCTCACATTCTTTCATCAAAGGATCCAACTTCTCGTTGCTCTCCGAGTTCGAGAGGTCAAAGTCGCTTCCACTCACGATGTAATGATCTCGCATCACGGTCAGATGAAGGTCGATGGGGTTCTGCATGTAATACTCAGGGTTGTGGTTTTCCTAAACGACGGCTTCAATCATGATGACGAAGGTTTCGAATCGTTAGATCTCTCGTGGATTATACATTTTTTAAAAACTGTTTTAAATTGTACAGCATGGTCAACTAGAGGATAGCCAACTTTAAACTATGAGAGTAAAGAGGTTATAGACAATACAATAATGAAACAATAAACACTTGGGAATAGAAATAGACCGATAATTTTACTCCCGTGTCTCTACCAAAAACATAAGCTAAAATTCTAATGTCCTGAATCATAATTTCTTACCGGTACCTACTTCAGGTCAATATATTTTTAAGGCATGTATGTTCAATTCGTTCGATTGAGGAACGGAACTGATGTTAATGAAACGCTAGTAACTCAATTGCCTACCTACGATTATCCTACCGCTGGTTTTGCGAAGTGTGCCGTGTTGCTATGAGAATGCTCCATGTTACCAACAACATATTTAGTCCATAGGGAAACGAATCTTACTCCGCCCCTTCATCTTCTGCATTTTACATATTCAATTAATTTAGTGTTTTTCTTCACTAATTTCTATAATTTCAATATTGCAGCAGCGCATAAGTTTGGCTAAGGAAGTTGCCAATTTCTCATAAACTCTTAACGTCCCCTATCTTTTATTTTTTCGCGTCTAAAACCTTTGATTTGCTCTAAGGCAAAGAATGTTAAGATGTCAGCGTGTACTGAAAACGAAATTTCGAAGAAACGGATAATTCTGTTCATTCGTTTTTGCCCTGTTATATTATCTTGTAACTTGAACTTCTATTTTATGCACGCCATGGAGTCATTGTTGAATTATAGAGAGGATCAGATTATTCCAATGGATTCGAGAATTATAAACTGGATTATGGTGGACCAAAAAATGTCGACTCAGTCGTTCAAGAAAACGCTCAGACGATTCGATAGTCAAACAACTTCAGAGGGTGCTGGACATGCCTAGAGTGTCTTCATGGCTTACCCATAACGAGGACAAGTCAAATATCGATTATACTCATAATATGAATAAAAAATTATTGAATACCGTACTTAGACAAGCAGTAATATAAAGGCGCTTAGTACTGCAACATCAAAAATATTCCTTATTGCCATAATTACCAAAGTTTAGTAAAATAGAAACATATTTACGCTGTCTGTCACAGACGGATCAGCTCCAGCAGCCAAAAGGAATCTGTAGAACTGATTGTTCTTACCGTAAACCGCGGCGTAATGGAGGGGAGTTTTCAGACTCTGCAAAAACAAAGTAACTCATATATGTCAACTGAAATACAAAAGATTTATTTGTCAACCAGTGTGATTAATTAAACAGTTTTAGATGCATAGTTTTTATATAATTGTGATACATATGAAAAAAACTCAGCGCAAACCACAACTTCCCCGCAGCCGTGTTTAGTCAAGATAACCTTCACATCGCTAAACTTCCAGATAGGGATAATCAACCAAACTTATCCAGGGCCTCAGGATGACACAGCACGAGTAGGAGGTTTACTTTGACCTGTAGATATGCCGAGTTCAGATTCAATGCCGGCACAAAATCTTCTTTCTCTCGATTGCTAATTTCCTTGAGCAAGGAACTCATTGTACGTTACCTCAATGTAACCAGCCAAAAAGAACCTAGGAAGTGGCTGGTGTGCGAACAACAAGGACAGCTTCATGTCACACTACGATCATGCCCAAATTATGAGACGCTCATAGCTGCCCATCGTCTTCACCTTCAGCCTTTGTCGGTCTACTGCTGCATGAGAACCTCTCCAAGACCTTGTCACAGACCTCCATTTTCTGCCATTTTCATCCATCTTTATCAAGGAACTTATTAAACTCACTCTGCAACTATCTGGAGGTGTTTCTGCCGCCGTTTACTCTTTCCTGAAACCAAGTTTAATTTC